TTGAGACGAAAGAGAGTGTACTTAGGAGAAAATTACTTACATTAATCTTGATAAGACACTGCTACCAGAAACCAAAATGTGAATGAAATCCACAGCTTAACAGATGATGACTGCTATAACCTATACATGTGGACAAGATGTCTCTATCTCACACGATATCAAATGAGATCAATTTATTTCAAATTGAGTAGTCCTTGCATAACTAAAATTAATATTGGTTCTCCCTAGGCACCAAATTTCAATTGTAGTTACAGTGTAAGCTTTTTGCATGAGGGCGTTGGTTTGTCCACCTACCTTGGAGGTTTTCTTTTCCAAGCATCTAAAAATAGGATGAGAAGGAAGAGTTTAAGCTTTTATGGCATTGTGCTCTCATTTCTAGGTATTGGATTCCATGGTTGGAACATAAAGCATCCCCTTGTTGTTTGGGAAAGACTAGTGTTCTTGGCCCCTTTGAGCACTAAAGCGCACCGATTCTTTCAAGGTATTCCTATCATGAGTTTGTAAAAGAATTGAAATGCATTCAGTAGGTGGTTTCTCCCATACTTTCCTTCTGGTTTTCTATATGGGTTTCTCTTAAGAGGATTCCTTCTCCTCCAGCCTTGCATTCTCTCCTGCTCTTGATAGAATCTCTTCCTTTCCTTGCCAAAAAACCTTTTTACGGCGCTTCACAAAGAATACATATGTCTGTACTGTAAAAATCACAGTTAATACTTCAACTTTAAAGAATCCCCCTCCGAGGCATGTAAGAAAGGAATATTGGCAACTAAGTTTCCATTATCTATAATTACTCAAATACATTCTTCTAGGAACTTATGCCATTTTTACTCTTTACAGTAAGATAAAACAGTATGACTTTTAACTTCAGTTGAAAAGTTATAAGATTTGTTTCAGCTGATGCTTAAGGTAAGCAAAAGGCAAAGAAGGAAGCTAAAACAAATGCAGATGCTTATTGGTGTTAACAATTTAGAATCCACTCCAATTCCAAACTTTTCCATTCAGACCTTCCATAGTTTCTAAGAAGCAGATCACCCATTAATAGTTTACAAAATACTTCACGCATCATAGACCTATTGAAAGAGCAGTTGTTATGCTATGTGTTGAATGTGAATAGAAACTTCAACATCTTTTTTTGCACATCGTTTCATCTATACTAGATCATCCAAGAATCCTGCACCTCGACAGTTAACCATTGAAATACAAAGTAGATGCCTTCCAAAAGAAAAAGTGCGAGAACTATGACGCTCCAGTTCCAAAACTTATAATCGACCAAAAAATGACCATAGAATGAACAGGATTAACATATTTGCAAAATTCATATGACACAAGAGACAGCTAAAAATTACGATCAACTCACAGGTGGAAAAAGTTTTACCGTTTGCTGGTACTGTCCAGATGAGCCTTCAACCTGGACTGGCACTTCAACGGGAACAATGGAAGCATGCATTGGCACCTGAAAAGCACCAAAGCTGCCAGCAGCCGCAGCAGCCGCGACTTCAACATGCGCTTTCATCTCAGGTGTGGTGGTGAAGTAATCAGAAGCCATTATCTTATTCAACTTCTCTCTCAATCCCGCATCTGCACAACCATAAGAGCACACAATATCTTCACAAAATGAACCAAAAAGGGGAAAAGAAGAGAGAAACTGAAAACTGAAAGCTAAGGAAAGTCCAGGAAATTACATGAAACGTCAGTTTTAGGCTCAATGGGCTCGTCCGAGTTAGATAACCAGCGCATGGCATGCTCGACGCACCGCTGCAAAGCATTCTTGTGAGACAAACTGGAATCCACCGGCCGGGAGATTAACAACCCGCTCAAAGACGAAATCATATCCAAATCTCTCTCGCCAAGCAGATCCGTGGCGTCATCAGTAACATAATCGTAAGTCAAGCAGCAACCCCTCTCGTGGGTCCTGGTCAACATGATAGAAGTGAAGTCAGCCTGGGACTTGACATCGAAGAGAGACCCGAAGTAGAGCAGCTTCACGAGATCCTCCACGGCGGGAAGTTTGGCGGTTTCTTCAGTTTTGGGTGGGTCTTGGGCATGCGAATCCCTATCATCTTCGGGAGGCGTTGTTTGATCAGAGGAGACCTGGTGTCGCTGGATGGCGAGACTAACCTCCTCGGCGACGGCGGAGGAAAGAGGCTGGCGAAGTTTCTCGAGCTCCTCGATTAGGACAGAGACGGCAGGCTTGGAGCGGAGAACGTCCTCTTGCTCCTTGTTGATGGGTTTTCCCTGGGCGATAGACTCTTCCATCTGGACAATTCGGTTCAATTTCTTGCGGAGGGCACGGAGGCGCTTGTTGATGAGGCTCACGACAGGTCCGTCCGTGACGTCGGAGGCAGCAGTGGCCGCCATTTTCAAGACTGGGGTTTAGGTTAGGCGGGGAAGAAGTACCACCGGGTGGCGGTGGTGGAGAGAGAGGAGGGGGTTTTGGAGGGAGGAGAAGAAGCGGCGCAGAGAGGGGTTTTTGAGGGAGAGAGAGCCAAAAAGCAGAGGAAATGTGGAGATTGAGGTGAGGTGGTGTGGTGGGGGGTTTGCTTTACTGATTACTTAAATAATAAAAAGGGGAAATGAAAATTGAAAAACCCGTGTCTTTTCAAATTATTTTCCTCTTTATATATATATATTTTTATAATTAAAAAAAAAAACATTGTTTTTGCTTTTCGGGTATAAAATTCCTGAATCGGGCATTTTGGGGGTGTGGATTAATGTTAATTTAACTAATTAATGGTTCATAGATTGATTTATTTTAACTAATCATTACTCTGCCTCAAAGACAAAACAATGAGAATACCGTTTCGTCTCGTTCCATTGGATGGAAAAAAGATTTTTTTTACACCTTTTAAAGCTGGACACAACACATTGTAAGTGTAACAGAGAAGTCTTAACATTAAAACATCCAACGATAGTTTTCCTACTTTTAGTCACTCACTTTATTTATCAATTCTATTCGACTAACAAATACTTTGTTGATGTACAAACTGCAATGTAAATCTATATATGACAACAATCCAGTGAAGTAAATTAAAAGTGAAACGTACATTGTTTTCAAAAGCTCAGGTTGTGATATGAATCATCGGAGTTGGAACAAATCTCCAACATATCATTTACCTCGCACAAGTTATTTTTTTGTTTCAAACAGTAGATCTCAATTTGGGATCTGTAATGTTATTATGATCAGTTAAGAATACATCCTTCTCCGAAAAGCTATTTGAGGCAATTGTCAAAATCTTCTACAACCTGACCAAAACCAAGTTCCACAGGTATTCTCATTAACAAAAATGGCCAACAATGTAGGACTGCCTCCAATACAAACCTCTCAAAAAACTTCCTCTTCAGTTTTATGCTTACACATATCTCGAGATTTGGGCATTTATAACTCACCACAACTCTTATCTCCAGCTTCAGTTTCCATTCAAAGATCTACTTCTTCAGGAAATCTAGCCCTTCCTGCGTAGACATACTGCATCTCCTCCTTCCACGTCTGCACATCTCTAGATTAGCCATAAAGAACTTTCTCATGCATTTGATCTTTATGCTTATCACAAGCCATAGAAACTCACCTCATGTCTAAAAGCAATCCTCATATTAGCTACATTGGTCTTATGGATATCATTGCCTTCCGGGCCCCTAATGAAATATCCATCACCAAGCCAATGCAACTACAAGAAACATGTATACGCAAAAATCATCAAAAAAGAACTTTGGATAGGACTATTTTGAAAACCTTTCCAAGATGAGAAGAAACAGTAAAAACAGTAAAAACTATTGTTGTTTCTTTATGCTTCTCACCTTTGCCTCGTGCGAAAATCCAGATTGATAGACAGAATTTCTAGCTATCTCACATAAGTCACAAGCACTGAGTTTCCATACCTGCAATGCTAGAATTCTGTAATATATGCCACCTAGAATAATGGAAAAAATAAAAAAGAACAAACCTGTGCTGCAACACTATATTCTTCCACAAGTGCTTCTTTTGTTAAATGTATTTGTAAAGGATCATCAGATGAGAGAGAAACATTTAGGCCCCGTTGGAAGAAGGCAGGAAATGGATTACGATGATAGTCCAGGAAAAGAGAATTGTTGCTCAAAGGTGACATTGCTAGTCCGATCTGGATGACAGAATAAAATTAACAAGCAGCAAGTCACTACAATAAAACAAGAATTTGAATCTTTGGAAGATAAAATGGACTAAAAGTCCCATTTTACAGTTATAATCATACATCCTTCTATTTCTCAAGATTCAACTATTAGTCTGATTTACTACAAAAAATCTTTGTGTAAACAAATTGATCAAAAAGTCATTCTTATCAATATGCCTATTTTTACTTAGAAATTCGCAACCATTACAAAGTAACTTCTCAAGCAGAATATGGCATTTCTAGGTCATTTTAAACAACCTGAGCTAGGTAATATAAATACTGCAAAACAGGAGATTTCCGCAGATTAATCCCATGAGAAATGTTGGTGCACAGAAGGAAGCCAGCTGCCAAATGGTCAATGTCACCAGCCTGAACAGATTCAGATTGTGCAAATCATAAGCACTTAAGCAACTACATGTGAAACAAAATAAGGAACTCACAAAAAGTAGATAATAACCTCCCCACAGTGAGGTCGAAGTTTTATCGTTGTCATTCCTTTTGATTCACGAAGCTGAAAAAGCAAATAAAAGGACAATTGAATCAATTTTATTATCAACTGCCAGCTATTCCTTTGAAATGGTCCACAATCATGATTATGTACAAAAAACATAGACACACCTTGTTGAGAGTGTACAAGTTTGCATAGCAGTAATAAGCATAATAGGAATATGCAGGATTATAATCGTTGGTCCATTCAGCCGGGGGGTCCATATGCTTCTTTGGACGTCTTTCCGGTTTACTTTCATCATCCACAAGGTCAAAACCCACAACCTTCATCATTCATGTAGTTAGAAATAAATCAGTACCTTCATCTTTTACTGCAGGATAATTCATTTCAATGGTGCATTTTTCTTTTTATTTGTTCTGTTGCATATTTATCATGTGCTCTCTGGAGAAGTGCTTTTACACATTAAATTGGTCAAGAATGAAGAGAGAGAGAGAGAAAGGTAGCACAAAGGCCCAGTATATAACATTATCTTAATCTCATATAGAAGGTAAAATTACCTCACCCATAAATGCCAATTAGAAAGGCAAAGGGCAGAAGAGACACATGGTTGAACAAAATGGTACTTAGAATTCCACAAACTTTTTTTTAGAGAAAAAAGAATAAAAATGATGCAAACATGCCACAACTTCATCACAAACAACGGCATGCTTCCTACCAAGTAAAAGCTGATGAACTATTACAACTCATTGCATTCATTAAAAAATGTTTACAAAACTTACCTGCATGAGGAACAAATGCAACTGAGGATGAGAGTTTGGATTAATTGTAACTTCAAATAGAGGAATAAAGACGTTGTCCAGAATGTTCTGAAAAGACTTGACGATTCCCATTCCCTTATAAACATTGTACAGTCGTGGTAGCTGCACATTGAAGTCCAAGTAAAAGGTGCATAAAGGAAATAATCATGATGATAGGAAAAGATAAAAGACTCGGGGTCGTAATTCTGACATAATAACCTAATCTTGTATTTTGCTTCTAACAAGCTATTAAAAGTGGTACTAATATTTCAATAATAAAAATCACCAGAGAAATATTGAGATTTATTTCTTGAAGTTTATTTTCTTTTAAAATGCCCATGGCTCATATTTGGATTAAAGCTAAATAGTCCACATCAACATGATAGTGTAGCCAGATTGGTAGAATATACTGATGTTTGAGTGTTGATCACTAACTAAACTATAAATGCATGGTAGGATACACAAGGTAGTGTAGAAGAAAGAGAACTTGAGCATACAACTTACAGAAGATTTATTAGAAACCAAGAACAAAGAACTCAGATCTCAACGGTCAAATTAATTCATCGTTTGAATAATAATGATATGAATAATCTTTTTTTCTAAAAAATAATATGAATAATCTACCAAATAACAAAGTTAGGATATCCTATTTATAGGCACCAAAATAAAATCAAAATATGAAATTTGTCTATGTAGGAATTCTACTAATTAACTAAGCTATTAAGAAAATAACTAAATAATAAATGCATACTAATAATAAGCCTATAATAGGCTAAGGCTACAAAATAACTAACCAACCACAGTTGAAAACCTCTCTTTTTTTTTTTTGAAATAAACAAGTGAGGTATATATTAACATGGTACCAAAAAAAGGGGGTACCAGCCAAGAACAATTTACATGAGTGTTAGTGTATCTATAACATTCCCAAAATCTTCATCACTAATAATGTTATACCCTAACAAAATAGCCCCAAAAAAATGAATCCACCTATCCCTTAATTTGTACATACTACTCCCAACACCCTCAAAAGCTCTAGACTTCCTTTCTTTCCAAATAATCCAGAAAACAGACAGTTGAAAACCTCTCTTAATTCTCTTTATTAATTAACATGACATACAAACACATAGACAAACCAAAAGAGATGCTGACAACTAAATAGCTCCTTGAGAGAGACCAAAGCACGCCTAATTCCTTCCTGAGAAACTGGAATTTGTTCTGCCCTTATGAAGGGGTATCCTTCTCTTAATCTTACAAACGACAATGCCTTACAATGCCCAAACTGGATGGTTCACTGACAAGAAGGTGAAAAAGCATTTTTTTTATGCAAATGAAAAATACTTCCATGACTTGTCTCAACTCTCACCTCTCCAATGTCAGATTCATGATAACCAAGGAAGAAGGCTTTTGTTTGAAGATATTTGAGTTGAAACAACTCTCTAACACATTGAAGTCTCTCAGGATAGTCCACAGAGACAGAATAATAAAGAAGATTTCAGGAATCTGAACACTGGAAGCCCAAAGCCGAATAATTTGGCATTTCATTACTAGCTACTCAAAAATTAGTCTCATGGATCTTATTTACAGTAAAGGCCCAGAAACTTCAATTTACCCATCTTATTAACATCAAGCAAATGACATTCAGTAGAAAGTTCAAGAAGGGCACAAGCAAGCACACAATGTAGCTGAATAGATAAAAGTCAATAAAACCTTAAAAAAAAATGACCTTTAACAAATGTTCAGATTACTAGTCCATAATCAAACAGCCCACATCACATTACATCAAGAAGAAACATCTGTTATCTGTTAGCTTAACAAGGAAGCAGGTGCTGGAATATGGATCATTGGCAACATAAATACCTGGATCAACCATACAGCATTTTCACTGTAAATTTCATTGTTAACAAACCAACTTGCCAGCTGGTCCCATTCACTTTGTTTCCTCCCATATATGGATATCCTGTACTCGGCCATCTGAAAATGCAAAAGATCAGTGAACTGAAGATCCACTAATTTTATTTAGAAAAGTTGGTTTTTCCAAATCTAGGATCCATATAAACAACTTTCAGTTTTTATTAGTGATCTTATAGTTAAATAAAGCTTAGAATGATGGTATAACCTATCAACTCATATTATCTATGCACATGGTGGACAAGAAAGAATGTCCCTATTTCCTTTGTGAAAATAATTACTGAACTTATCTAATATAAACACAGTTCCTAGAAGAAGTGTAGCAACTGAGATATCTTGCTCAAAAACAATTTATGTTGAAAAAAAGCTAAATATACTGACTCATAGTCAAGACTTGTGAAAACAGTGGCTTGGTAACAGTGAAAAGCCTGAAGAAATGAAATGAAGTATAACCAAGAAAGAGAAAGGGAAGCATCTTCTCTATTTATAATAGGAACTTATTTGTTCATTTTATGCTCTCTAGGAATAAAAATGAACAACAACAATCTTGCTTAAAATAAAATATATAAAATTTCCACGAACCAAAAAACTCCCATGAAAAAGTTAGATTATATATTACATAAAGGAACTTTTTAAGTAAAATGCTAATGAGAACAATTGTGTATGATACAATAATAATGACAATTACAAGTAACAGATAGAAACCTGCAATGACCATAAAAATGAATAGGAAACTGAAGTGAAATTTTTATATATTTGAACCTGATATTTGCTAGCTTCAAGGTCAGACAGAACTTGTTTTGTTACTTCCGCCAAAAAGCGTCCTGTGAGATTAACTTGAACAGTCAGCATATTATTTTTGAACTTTTTAACTAAATCCTATGTTTCAATAAGATATTTGTTATTTCAAAAACCAACACAACAATGTGAATAAAACCTTGGATAAGATTGTCCTGCTTTAAGAAGATTTCTCGAAGTCTACTTTGCCCACAAGGATTATATTTAAGATTGAATTTGTCAAATCGATGAAACGTACTCTTATCAGCATGAACATCCAGCAGATCAACATTCATATCATACCTGAAGTGTGATTTTCAACAGTTGCAACATATAAATAAGAGGGATCATTGGCAAAATTCAACTTCTGGCAAATACAAAAGAATAGAACCAACATAATTATTACCCAGTCAAGTCTAAACTCTCAAAAACTTCCTTTAGTGTCATATACTTGCCATCTCTGAATATAACAACCTGCAGAAGCATCAAAGTGGCCTGCTTTTACTATAATCAATCTTATCTTGTCAATCGTCAGAAACTTCAGATTCAAGCAGTAGAGAAAATTGCAAATAAATTAAAGTAGATCTTAGATATACCTCATCAGGTTCCTTTCTTAGCTTTGACTTTATGAAGCGCAGAAGATGCTTTTGGTTCATACATGCAGAATGATGCACATGGGTATCAACTTTGCGGATATTGTAGAAATCCCGATGCGGGGCACTTTTCTGAGCAAGAAACTCCTTATCTGCATTTATTAACAGATAAAGGCGGAATTTCTGTATCGTGTTCAGATATAAGTTATGAACAAGGGCCAGAATAATCGAAAGAAACATAATGCTTAAACAGAGTTTGGAGAACACTACCTCTTCAAGAAATCTTAGTCTGTGATGGCATGCAGAACGGACATTTCCAATTGACATAACCTTTAGGAGGTGATGCATATCAGTGAAAAATTCAGTAGAACTTGCGACAGGAAAAAGCTCAACAGTGTCTGAATGATAAGTCATAAAAGATTGACCATTATTACATACCAAGAGAAGAAAAAAGTGTAAATAGATAAACTAGATCACTCAACAATCATGGCATCTATCAAGCCATTAACGGGGCCTTCCATTCATTTTTCATCTGATCCTTTTTCTGTGGGTTATGATTGAAAGTAGAACACAAATTACTTGCACATACCATTCTCACTAGCATAAACATGCACGACTCCATCTTCAATCCTGAAATGATGCTACATAAAAATAAAAACAAAATCACAGAACAGTATTTGCATTACTAAAAAACTGGGAAACAAATATGCGCAACTATATGCACATTCCTTTCATTGTTATTTTGTGGCAGCTTTCCACCATAATAGAAAATAAAACACTACTTTGAACATCATTTATAAGATAGTAACTCACTGCAGTTGCTTCAACAGGTTCAAAGTGAAATGGATCAGATTTCTTCTTCAATGTGTCAGACTTTTCTGCAGCTACCTTCCTCCATGGAGCAACCTCTTCATTATAAACATACTTCTTTCGCAAATCCAAACACTCACAAATCATTTTCCGAACTTCTTCCTCTTCTACATTTGCTGACTCTGAAATGGATTAAATTTAAAAAATTTAATTAAAGGGAAACGAGTTAGAAAAAGCATGCTGCAGCCACCCACTTGAGTTACCAAGTAAAATTAATTGCACAATTTCTCAATATATTATTCTTCCATAAATATTGCAGAGAGGTAGAAATTATACCAAACCTAAGAATACATCAGCTGACAAATAAGGGAAACAATAAAATCCAAGATTGAGAAAGCAGACTAAAATTTCAAATAAAGACTCAGCACTATAAATTAACATATTACCACCATGCAATAAGATGCTCTGCGGTAAAACATCAGCGAAGGTTGTATCGTTCCCCACAACATGAACTGGTGATGTATCTACTGCTTCTTTGCCATGCATAGCAGTTTTTTCTTCACATCCATTAGATTTTAAATTCTGATCTTGAACACAGTTAGCAGTATCACCAGTAAATGGAACAACTGAAGAACTTTGAATTCTTAAATCAACTTGCTGCAAGCAAATTCATTAACAACTATCAGATATCCAGGACTAAGAACAATTATTAAGCACCGTGGACATCTCAATTTCTTATTTATTAGTAAAAACTACTAAAATATGTCAACATATGCTCAAAGCAAAGTGAGTTTTCATATAGCTGCTCATATAACCTATTTTATTTGTACTTGCCAGCTAAAGTCCTGAGTTACTAGTTGTCATTTGCATGCTAACCAGTCGAAATTTTAACTTTTCCCAAAAAAAATATATGAATAAAGTGTATGAAGAAAATCACAACATCTTGCAATTTTCTTCAACATACCCAAGAAGCAGACTAGGAAGAAGGGTTAGAGACCAGAAACAACAAGTTACTAACACGACTAGATGACATTTAATTTAATACCTTCTTAATAAAATTATAATTACTCAAACCTGCATTACTCTCTAAGATGCACAGGAACTCTATTGAGTTTATAAAATAAGGAAACGTTATATCTTGAAGTAAGATGCCAGTTACAAAATTGCAAAAATATTGACCATGAAAAAGGAACTGAGAAGCAGACATGCACATACACTTAGGATCTCCGGAGTAGAATCTACATTCCCTAGACTGAAAAGAACATCCTCATCATTTGCAAGCTCTGTATCATCATCAGAATCCCCAATGCTTTCAAAAGCATTCACACCAGACGATCTTGGAGTAATTAACCTGCCAACAGATGCTACCCTTGTATTTGAACCAGCACGGTTAACAGGTTGATCCTCTCCTGCACAAAAGCAAAAACGATATCATATTTTCATTGCATGGTCGATCCAGAATACGCTGCTCCTGCCATTCCATGCACAAAATTTTGTCCATTTCAATTTCACAACAAATTCCATTCCATAAATATGTCGTCCAAGTCTATTAAAAATGTAAATTATCCTCTCAGCAAAATTAGTTTACATTGCAAGCGTGCCATCAACAATAACTTCTAATGAAACAAGAGAAACAAAAAAAGATAACTATAGATATTTTCGAAGAGGAAATGAAGCAGCATACCCTTCCTTTGAGAAAGCTGGATAGGAGGAAGACCTGACGGCACGAAGTTAAGCTTATCGAGGGAGGAGGCAGATAAGCCCTGAGCCCTAGCCCGTACAGCCTCATCAAACCTGGCGTCATCCTCAAACCATTCACTTCCCACGGCCACATTAGGCATTGAACTCGATACCGGATAACGTATGGGCAGAACGACACCTTTGCTATCGAACGAGCTGGACAGGAGCCTTTTCCGCACACCATTCACCTCCCCTTCGGAACCCAAGCCTCTCTCCTCGTATTCACTTTCATCTTCTCCTCCATCGAGAAGCTGTTTGTAGTCCCCTTCTCCTTCCTCTTCCTCGTCATCTCTGTTGGTGGAACCGGAGCCGCCACTACGATGATCCCCAGACTTACGGCGTATCTCGATGACGCGATCGAGTACTTGATCAACGGTGCGTTTATGGATGTAAAAAGCAGAGACTGCCATCAGCGAGGCACCTACCAGCGCCGCCATGGCTAGTTGAAAATACGAGGTCGTTAGAGGAGGATCCATTGGGACAGTAGATTGCTTGTGGAGTGAGGAGTGAGGAGTGAGGAGTGAGGAGTGAGAGCGAAACCCTAACTTGAGAAGGCAGTTTGATGTTGTAAATTAGAGAATTTATAGGTACTGCTGCGGAAGCCGAGAGGACCAGGTTTTGAGGGGGGAACCAGGAAGACGAAGGGAGAGAAGTCAAAAATGGACCAAAAAGTCAAACGATTTCGGGAACCCATATACAATAAATATACGTGGACAGTTCTTTTGCCAATCGCCGACGTGGGCCTAGGGCCCAATGCCGTTGGTTGTAACAGTCGGTGCGCTCTTAAATTAAGAATACAGGGCTAATGGGCTCTGGCGTCGGCCCATTAAGAGGTTTCCATATTGGGCAAGATAGCGGTAAAGACAGTCTCCATAGAACAGGCCCACAAAGTTGTTTTACTCGTCTCATTTATCTTATTATATTAATATAATCGTAATTATAATATGTTAAAATTATAACATATATTATTGATATACACTAATTATATTTATTAATACAAGTATATTTTTACTTTATATTTTACGTTAGATTTGGGCCAAATTGGAATCTAGGTTTAAATCAGAACCTGTCATCCCTGATTTTATTGCAGCCTCTTCCTTGGATCTCAATTTTACATAATATTTTTTTTTTTAAATATTGTTTAAATCAGGTTTTAATTTAGTTGAATCTAAATAGAAACAAATAAAGAAAATTAAATTTTATACAGTGTACATGTGCAAATTTGATCACAAAGTCCAATGATTGATTTGAAGGCAATCTATTGGAGGTTCAATATTAATCAAATATAATCAGTATTATTTTTGAATCATATAATAGTCACTGAATGAAAAAAGGCAGTAGCGTTTAATTTGAAAGAGTTTGCAAATGGGGATTACTGCTTAATTTTAAAAAAAAAATTATATAATTCTGCTTAAGTGGTTGTTTTATTATCTGATTCTGCTTCTAATAAAATATGCAGCGGCTCTTTATTTTTAAATAAATTATTATTGTGAGAGTTTTTGTCCCGCATCATCATTATAACAAGTATATTTTTTTTCATCTATATTATTTAAATAAAATAAATAATTTATCTCATTAATATTAAAATTGAATTATCAAATTTCATTAGAAATAAAATATGAACAAACAAATTTTTTTTCCTCATTTCTATCAAAATTTCTTAAGTTAAACGAAAATATAACGGTCCGAAACAATTTTATAAATTTTAATGAACAAATTTATTTAAAACATAATAAGAAACAAAATCATAATCCAAAAATAAAAGTTGTCCACTTCGTACAATTTATGAATTCAGCAAAAAAAAAAAAGAATCACTTCAAGAAAAATAATAATAGCATTAGTAGTAGTAATAATAATAATAATAATAATAATATTACAGCTGCCGTCCATTATCAATTAGTATTAGGAAATAAAAGAGCCACAGAGAAGAAAACAAAATCCACAACTTGAAGATTCGATAAGGAAAAAATAAGAGAAGAAGAAAAAACCAAGGCATCATTATCCATCACAAGCAAGACCACTCTCCCTTTCCTAGGGCTATTCAAAATATTATGCAGACATAATGACAAATTTGTGTTCATAATTGTCAAGCTCCCACAAGTTTCTAGCTATATGAAGTCTAATTTGTAACATCCTAAACTCCAATATCGGTAGATACGGACGTTAGCACAATATTTTCAACTACTAGAACAGATAAATATTAAATATGTAAAACTACACTTTAATAAACATATCTTGTGACAGAATAATTATTCATTTACAAATAATTAAGACATCTAAATTAATTTAAAACAATAAAATAAAAGCGAATAATATTTTTCTTCACTATCTTCTATTGATCTTGAACTTATTTTTTTATCTCTTTTGACTTGGACAATGATAAATTGGAGTGAGCTTCACGAGCTTAGTAAGAAAAAATTATTCTACAACAAAAATTTACGCACATACATTCACGCAATATATAAAATTTAATAATACTTATGATTAAGAAAGTGTCAAACAAAACATCACAATCAAAATATACAACAAATAAATCATCACACAAAATATATTCTAATCCTCACTCTTATAACCTAATTCTTGTTCTTCTTTCTAATCACACTTATTTTTTACTTAAGATCTTAATTTTTATATATAATTAAACACAAACACACACACAGAATACACAATATCATCACGTACATCAGAGCTATATATTTCAAACTATTTTCTGAATCATCATGTACCAGATTACACAGCAAGCACAGGATACTCAAATTCCTCGCTCAACTGTACCAGATCACACAGCAAGTACAGTGCACCGTACATTTGCAATAAATTACACAACAAGTGCAGTGTACCCAAAGCCTATATGTACACACACTGGTTATACATTTCATATGTATAACATATGTACACACATTTTAATATACACACATATATATTATAATATAGACATGTACCATTACTACATGTCTCACACAAAATATATATTTATATTCACATACACAATCTCTATTGATATATACACACACGTTCATGCTTAAACACATATACACAATCACACACAATATAGTATATATACTTATTCATGCATTTATTTTTATCAGTTCTGTTCTCATCAACTATGTTCTCATCAATTCATATATCATATATCGTATATTTTTATATACACACACACATGCGTAACAACATAGATATATATATACACTACATAAATATACACAAATACAAATTAGACATACTAATTGTATTTATATTATATTACACATACATTTAGACATTCACACAAAATGCACTATATACATATACCTTTTTATAAACATATAATTTATGTTTTCATACGGAATACACATAATTCTTACCTATGATATGATCAAAAAAATTTTGGGAATCCTTTTTAACTCGATCTATGGTCATCTCGAAAATTCGAATATCGTTTGTATAATTTTTCTCATTTATAATAGAAACACATATATTAAATTATGAATAATTTTAAAAACTATATTACGTGAAATTAGGAATGGATTTTACCTTGGGACACACAGGTCCCGATTGCCAACATCATCACACACCATTATACGTGTGTTATCGAAAATACTAGGTACTGATGATCGAATCAGCACGCGTCATCGCATGCGGCACATCA